TAGAGAAAGCAGTTCGGTATAAAACATCTGAATGTGAAAGCTACACAAAAACTGCGTCAACCAGGATTGTTTCATGTTCCGGTTATGTGGGGACAATTGAGATCTAGAGTTATGAGTGGAGTACAAACTACCAACCAATCCACACTGCGAATAAGTTTCAAGAATCTCAACTAACCGGATTGCCTATCCACGGCCATTTGCCAGTACAAACAAGCGCAAAAATCAAGCAATGCAAGTGTCGACCTTTAGAAGCGTCTTCATCAGACTGTCAATATAAGCCTTGGTAGGTTTGCCCCAAAAGAGCGATATTGTATGTAGGTTTCTCAATAGCTCTCCAGCCTGAGACGAGCTGTCATTGAAGTGAATAGTGTCTTTAAGACCAGGAGGGCGCGTGAAAGAGGGGAAGACTGCCGTGTGCTTGGCAGGCTTCCTGCTTGCCTGAAGAGATTGCTCTGAAAGATGCGTAAGAGGAAGTCAGCGCACGGGATGACCTCGATCTCTAAGCCGTCAGAAAAGGGCGCGTCTCAAAAGAGAAAGGTTGAGGCAGATGTGGAGGGAGGGGCCACTATCTGTTCAGAATTCCGTGCCATATTTGCCAGCTGGCACTCCTGGTTGGGAGCGATGGGCGGCGGTTTTCCAGCTGGGGGGGTTCCCTGGCTTGGAGTCAGCAGCAGCGTGGGCCTGGGGAGAGTCGTGTGCTCCAAGCCAGGAAAGTGATTCTTCAGCAGCTTGTTTTCCCTCAACTTTTGGAACAAGCTCCCTCCTAATCTTGTTTTCAATCCGCTTCGCATCCATTTCTCTCCGAATCAAAGCGTCAAGCCGAACCGGTTCGATTCGAACTTCAGTTTGACACAGCAACCCGCGTCACCCGAGTCGTGCGGAGTTGGAGCTCCAAATCCCTGCGAGACATATCCCACCCCTTCCAGAAAGTTTGAGCAAGCGCTTGTATGACGATCTCGTTTCTTGTGGCCGTGATGTTGGAATCTGCCTTCCCAATCCACCTCCCTTTTGAGTTGTTGAAACTTTTTGGCAGTGTTAGAAACCCTCCAAATCGGGGTTAGCACTCAGATCTTGGTGTATTCCTCCATTTTTCAGGCCAGAGCTGTGACATGCGAGTCCACTGCCTTGTCAATGTTTTCGACCTCTAGTGCCTTCGAGGCAATAAAATCCACCTGCAACCGCTTTTGAATCTTTAAGTGAATCCCTGCGGTGGATGTACTGGGATTTTACCTTTACAGGGGCAAACTTTGTTTGGAATCCGATGGTTTTCATGCGGATGCCGTGAAGCACAGTGCCTTGGCTGTTGAGATCCTTCATCGTCTCGAGCTTGCCTTTGCCTTACGAAGAGCCGCGAAGTTGTCACAGAATCCCTTGACAGCCAATGCAGTCCACCCATTATAAGGTTCAGGGATTTAACTGTCGTTGACTGGGTCCGGTATGACGATGCATGGACGACTCCCAGACGGTCCAGAAGGGGAACTTCAGCACGCCTGCTTTATAAAGTAGGCCCGCCCATGTGTTCATGGCAGTCGAGGAATGTCTGGTCGCACTTCGGGTTGTTGGCGAGCTTTTCTGTGCATTGTGCAATAATCCTTCCTATCTACAAAGCTGCGATTTTCTGCACCGGCCTTTTCCTCGTCGAATGGGTTCCAATCGAATTCTCAGAAGTGGTAGCTCCTCGTGTTTGGAAGCGCAGCAGTGCTAGAGAATACACTCGGACTAAAATGAACAAGAAAGTAAAGAAGAACTACAATAGCTAAGAGAATTTCGATCACAAAAACTGTTTCACTCTCAAATACACCGCAAACATGTTTCGGCAAGGTGGAGAAAAAACTCTCAAGCTTTCATCAGTTTTTTTTGGACAATTGAGATCCAAAACACGCCATGGGCTGAGTACTAACCCACACTGCGAGCACATCCTAAGAATCCCAACTACCCAAGGTGCTTATCAAAGGGCATTTGCCAACACACCCAAGGTTACAAGTTTCTCAACTTTCAGAAGCGTCTTCGTCAGGGCCGTCGATGAGGTATGTAACATCTCCCACACCAATGCCTTTGTAAGTTATTTGCACACCATCATGCAATATATCGTTTCCCACGTCAATACCGCGTGAACTAACACGATTTGTTACGCGCCTCAACAACCACACCCAGCAATCCGTAGTTTTTGCTGCATGGAAAGTAATTGCTGCTTTTGTGTCTGCCTGCCTTGGTCCTAAAGGTAGATAGCGATAAGGTTGGATCTGCTTTTGTGCCTTTTTCTCTCCTCCACTCCCCCACATCTCACGTTGTGTGTCTATGCGGACATGTAATGTAATCTCTCACCCTTGCAGCGATGTCTCGCACAACATGCTCACAGAAAGCATTCCCACGGAAATGGGCAGCTTGGTGTGGCTTTGGCACCTGTCAGTTGCATGACCCTCTCTGTCCCTCACACTGCCTGCCAGTCCATATTGCACTCTGTTGCAACTCTCCATTCACATATTCTTGCATTGGCAGGCATGCATGCATGCACGTACACACTCTCGCATGCCTCATGCTTTCCCATTCCTCCTGCCCTCCACACCTCACATCCACTGTCGTTTACATCCCCTGATCTGTAGCTTTCCATTCCGATCGCTGTCCACCTTCGTTTCTGTTTTGATAAACTCAAGAATCACCTTAAACCTCCGAATCACCTTGTTTCTATCCGCCCATCACAGCTACCTGGACTACAACAAGCTGGGAGGCACCATCCCTGACGCCCTGAGCACCCTCACCAAACTGATCAACCTGTCAGTCGCTCGCCCCCTCCCACGCCCTCCCACGCCTACCCACGCCCACCCACGCCCTCCCATGCCCTCCCATGCCTTCCCTGCCTCACACCCCTTGCCTGCCATTCCCTCGGGCTCACTTCACAACTATGCATCCATACATGCACCTCTCTCCCTGCATCTCTCTCCTTGCATCGCTCTCCCTCCCTGCAACCATGCCTGCATAGCGAGGATTAACTGCTTGGTACATCTCTTTCATCTGAAGCAAGAGTCAACCTCTGTGCTTGCACATCCCTCTCCCTCTCCCCCTGTTTCGGCTCACTTCATATCTGCAGGTCGTTCTTAGGCCTGTAACTACGTCATGCAGCCAACTTTTAACTGTTTCTGCGGCACCTCAAAAATCGACACAGCTAGTGTGTGACTGTGTGCTTCTCGCAGGTCCATGGGCAACAATGAGCTCGAGGGACCCATCCCTGCCTTCCTCTCTTCCTTCAATACACTCTCCCACCTGTCAGTGTACAGTGTACCCACATCACATACCCACCTGTCAGTGTACAGTGTACCCACATCACATACCCATCGGTCAAGGCTTAGCCAGCAGAATTGCTCTCATATCTTTCCTCCCATGAGCATAGACCCCTCTATCTCGCCGCTCTTCCACTCAGATTCCATTTCCACACCCTCTCCCTACCTCCCTCCGTCCCTCCCTCCCCTCCCTCCCTCCCTCCCTCACTCCCTCCCTCCCTCACGCCCTCCCTCCCTTCCCCCATCCCTCCCCCCATCCCTCCCCCCTTCCCCCTCCCTTCCCTCCCTACCCCCTCCCCTCCCCCACCCTCGCCCAACCATCCCCTTCCTCCCTCACCTCACCCCTCCCCCCTTCTTTCCCTCCCTCCCTTCTTCCCTCCACCCCTCCCTTCCCCCTCCCTCCCCCCCTCTTCACCTTCCTCCCTCCCTCCCTTCCTCCCTCCCTCCCACTCTACCTCCCTCCCTCCCTTTCTCTCCCTCTCCCTCCCTCCCTCCCTCCCTCCCTCCCTCCCTCCCTCCTTCCCTCTATGCTAGTGATTACGCAACCACACACACCCGCTCGCTGTTCACTCACATCTCCCTACTGCTCTCTACCGCACTCTAACTCTCCATACCACTTACACCCCCACATTCCACCTCTCCTCTGTTCTGAGCCCTTCATCTTCTGAACCCTCTTCATCCTGCCTGCTCTTCCTCCTCGCCCAGTGTGTTATCCAACAACAAGCTGACAGGAATCATACCTTCTTCTATAGGCGCTTTGACGTACCTCTTTGACCTGTAAGGGAGGGAAGAAGGGGGACGAGCGAGTGAGTGTGAACGGAGCGGGTAGCGAGAGAGGTGCAGATCAGTGGTAACCACATCGCCCGTCCTCATGTGAGTTTAAAATTTTTGCAACAACCCTCGTTCCGTTGTGACCATAGCTTCCTCAAGTTATGCTGTTCTGAGATGTCTAAATAACTCCCTTGTTATCATGCCACGCCACGCCATGCCATACCAATCACATCACCCAATGCCCCAGCTACCTGAACGACAACAAGCTTGAGGGTTCCATTCCAAGCACCATTGCTCAGCTGCAGAAGCTCTCATGGCTGTACAAAAGAGACCCTAGCTGCTTAACTTTTGCTTCCATGTTGCCATACCCATGCAATGTTGCCGGCCAATCGGGCTTCTCCGTTGACGGGAGGCGAAGGGTGAGACGCGGGAGAAAAAGTAACAGGCGCCAACCTGCGACCGACCCAGGGATACGCGCGAGGTGAAGCAGTGGTGTCAGGAGGGCTGTGGCGAAAAGAGGGCGAATGTCAGCAGGGAGTTTACGCGAAAGTGGGGGCTGACGACTGTCGCGTAAGGGAGTCAGGTCCCACAATTCAACTTCGCCGAACCGCTCCATGTCCTCGGCCAGTTGTTCTGGCGAAAATTGGCGGGTCTCTGAGGTGGTGGTGTCTGGTGCCTGCCGGTGTAATGCACCATCTGTTACAGCTGGGATTGGAGCGACTTGGGGTGGAGCTGGGATTGCCCGGCGTCTGCCTTCCCGTTCCTCTTCCTCTTCCGTGGTAGACTCCTCCGCTACCTCAGGTATAAACGTGGGGTCTCCCGCGTCTTCTTCATCTTCGGTTAGTTCCACTCTTCGAGTTAAGGCACGACATGCCTCTCTCTGGAAGCCATTCTCTGGTCCGCCTCCCCTTCCTGTCGCACCTCCTCGTCCGCCGCCTCGTCCGCCCCGCGATGCCAGTGTCAATAGGCGACGATTATTCGTATTCGCCACGGCCCTTTGACGTGGCGTCTGCTGCTGTTGCCCTTCCGACCGTATCGGCCCCGGCACCGGGGGTTGTGGGGATGTCGCCACCTCCCGCACCTCGATCTGCGCCATCATCCGTGACTCAGGCTGGCCCCATCCATGCGCCTGCTGTGGCGCCAGCTCCTGTTGTGGCGTCGTTGGCTGCGCCTGCCGTGGCATCTGATCCGGCGCCTGCGTCGGCGTCTGCTCCCACGCACGCCTCGGAGCCTGTTCCTGTGCCCGCTCATGCACCTGCCGCGACGTTTGATCCTGCGCTTCCTCCCGCGCCTGCGCCGGTGGTTCCACTTGTCTCCGTGGCGGTGTCTGTACCCGCGCCTGTTCTCGCGGCCTCGCCTGCGGCTGTTGGGGCAGCCTTCGTGCCGCCTCGGGCTGCGCCCGCCGTGGCGCCTTCTGCTGCTGTGGCGGAACCGTCTTACCAGCCACCTCTAGCCACCAGCGCCGGCCTGAGCCTGGCAGAGGTGCAGTCGACGCACGTGGCGCCTCTGATTGCTCCGGCCAGGCAGCCTCGTCGTCCTCAGTCACCTGGCCGCTGCCCGTCCCGTCCTCATTCACCCCTCCTGCATGATGAGCGGGAATCGTCGAGGCGCCGACAGGATTCTCCTCGGGGCCGCCGATCCCAGGGGAACTGGACCGGGCGTTGTGGCGGTCGTGGTAGCTGGTGGGGGGGTCGCGGCTATGGTCGTGGTGCTCCCCCAGAGGAGCCCCAGATGACTCCGGCGGAAATCCGCCAGCTGGTAACGGCGGCGGTGCGTGACGCTCAAGCTGACGTGGCGGGCCCGAATCACCCGCAGCATGCAGCGCCACGTCCTGGCGTTCCTTCTCCAGCTGCCCGTCCTGCTGCTGTTCCTCATTCCGCCCCTCCTCCTCGCGCCTCTCATCATCCTCCGGCGCATTTTCCTCCTCCTGCTGCTGTTGTTGAACCTCTCTCGTTCCCGGCGGGAGCGCCTCTTCCCCCACAGTCTCGTGTTCCCGAAGCCACTCTGGGGCAGTTGTGGCGTCTCTCGGAGAGCCTTCTGGCGCTCCTTCTGGTGCAGGTGACTGCACACGCGTCTCTTGTACCCGTCCCTGCAGATTCTCTTCTGGATGGCCCACGGGACGACTGCTTGGACGCGGCGGACGAGCTCGCCCTCCTCTTGGCGCCCGTGTTGGCTGCGCCCGCGCGGGGAGGCGTTGCTGCTGTGGGACAGCTTGATGCGGCTGTCCGAGGCCTGTGGCGGTCCTTGCGTGCTGGCTCAGGAGCCGAGGCGATCGCCGCAAGTACCTTGGTGGTCCGAGAGGTGTGGCGGACTCTGTCGGGCCTTCTTGCCGCTCTTGAGGCGGATCGGATGTAGTTTCCGTCGCCATGTTATCCTTGCTGTTGCTTAGGATTGTGTCACTCATGCCTTGTGTGTATTCGTTGTCACGTAGTGCACGTTGCCCTAGTAGCTTGCCTCCCCTCACGAATAATTCAGCCACACCACTGAACAATGAGAGACAAGAGGCCAAGAGGGGCCTC